TATATATAAATAAACACACACACACACACACACACGCACTTTCATACCTTTCATCCCATCTTTGTTAACCACTTGGATTTTTCCTTTTTGTTTGTTTTTAAAGTGCATTTAAAGAGCACTTGAAATTGATTGTGTCAGTCTCTTTCACTGTTGGTTTTGCTGTGATGTTGATTTTCCAGAGATTTTTGAACTGGAAAATTTTCTGGATTATTTTTCTGGTGCACTTTTACATAATTTGCATATGAAAACGTTCATTTTGGATGACAAAATTGCCCTGTGCAATTAGCACTGTCAATATTGTGGGACAGAAAATTTTCAGTGGAAAAATGATGTATTTTTTTCAGGTAAAGTTCTGCCCCATTTCATGATTACCTTTGAGACCAGAAACTCCAATCTAGAAGTTTTCAACTATATGGCTGTTGAATGTATAGGAGCAACCTATTCAGCATTACTTTCCCATCCACTACAGAAAAGCAGTTTACCAAAGAAAGTCAAATATTTCACTTTGTCTAGTAGGCTCTGATTGCCTTAATTAATAGATCTTGATCCTATATAGAATTAGAGTTAGGTCAACTTAACAAACTCATATAAAGGAAAGGAAAAATTGGATGCATATAACACATTTATATTTGAATTATATAATTGCAAGTAATTTTAATATGTTGATTTCTTTTATTAAACAAGAAACTCCGGCTTTGCATGGAAAAAGTTGACCAGAAGGCCCCAGAATACATAAAGATGGCAGAATCATTAAAGTAAGCCTCTTTAGTTATTGTTGTTTTTTTAAATTGAATATGTCTTGAGCATAAAACACACAGGAAAGAAGATGATTGTGTATTTTAAAAAAATCAGAAAAGCCAACTATTAATTAGATATTAAGAACTATAAAGCTGATACATTGGAAAGCTATCTTTCAGTTTTGTAAAATCTTAGTACGCCATACAAAGTTAATATTTACTGTTTTCTTTGGGACAGCTGTTACATTTGTCTTATTGTTAACTGAGACTTAGAACTAATTCTCATGCTATATCCGAAAGTCTCCTTAATTTTTTTCCAGTGTTAACAGTACTGGGTGATACTTACACAATTATATTTTCTGAATTGTATTTATTTATTTAAAAGGCTTATATGGCTGTCCTTATGTACCATAACCTGGGCAATTCAGAAAAGCAGCAATAAATAAATAAATAAACAAACCCACTGTTAAAAACTTATAGCACTCCAAAAATAAACATTTCTCCATACATCAACATCTAGATTTACTGAGCTGGACTGGATACTGATCTGTGAAATGTTTGTCATAATATATTAGCTAGTCTTTAGGGTATGGAGTTTGAACAATAGTATCCTTTTGTAAAATTGCTGGTGCTTTTAATTGAAGATTTCAATTTGTAGGTTGAATCCATACATTAAAAAATAAACACCACTTTGAGTTGGAACTTGCTCTCAGATAAGTCTGTGTAGGGTTACTTTCATGTATATACATGCTTTAGCTTTTGAAGTGGTACAGAACTTGAAAATCTGATCATTCTTCCCTACCTTTTTCAATTAAATTTCTTTAACAGACATTTAAAATAGATACTTTGTTATTCCAGATTAATAATTTTTTGAATCTAACTAGCTTGTAGTAGAAAACAAGAATATAAATGATTAATAAAGTGTGTCTGTAGGTGTCCATATGAGTATGGTGAGAAATACAATTTCAGAAATTTAGAAGGAAAATATCAAAAACTCTAGGACAAAACCAGAATCAGAGCCAGAATGGTCAGCTTCTCTCTGTAGTAGGTGGCAAGTATACGTGTAAATACTTGGCTACCAAGGCTGGTTATAATTTTGTACACCTTTGGATTTGTGTCCCTATAAGTGCGTCTTTAATCTTGCAAAGAATAAGAGCTTTGTGATGCTAATCCTGAATCAAGCTGCTTCACACCCTAAAAAGGTGTTTATCAATGTAGAACTCATTTTACTGAGCTAAATAATTTCCAGAGAAATTGATGACAAAAAATGCACCAAGATCTATATTTAGTATTCATGATTTTTTTCCCTTTCTTTCATAACTCATTCACAGTTCATGAATGGGCAAGACTAGTGTTTTAAATGAGGCAATGTCTATAAAATTCTTCACTTCAAAATAACTGCTGTATTTATATGGATAAAAACAGTTTAGAATATTTAAATGTGCATTTTTTCTTTCAGTGCTGGAGAGGCAACATACAGTCTTGAACATGCTAACAATCTTAGGATAGAAGTGCAGAGAATGTATGAATTAATAGATGCTTTAAGGTAAATGGAAAATATGGAGATGGAATGTATTTATTAATTAAATTTATATGGCTGCCCATCTCACAAAAAGTGACCGGGCAGCATACAACAGTCCAATAAACAATAAATATGTAAACAATCATTACATAAAACCATTACACAATAATTATTAAAAACTATGAAAAGTATAAAAACAGAAAAGGAAAATAATAGGCAAAGAGATGTTAATAATAGAGCCACCTCCCTAGCTCACCTGTCCCCTGGGGTCCCTAGGCCTGCTGACTTAACCAGGTCTTGAGAGATCTTTGAAAACTCAGGAGTGATAAGGCCAATCTCATCTCTGGGTGAGAAGGTTCCACAATGTGGGCGCCACAGCAAAAAAGGCCCTCCGCCTAGGGCCCACCAAATGTAGCTCCCTAGTTGACAGAACCCATAACATACCCACTCTGCTAGATCTAGTGGGGCGGGCAGATGAAATTGGGGACGGGCAGTCCCTCAGATACTCTGGTCCCATGCCATGAAGAGCTTTAAAGGTCAACACCAGTACCTTGAATTGGACCCAGAAACAGACTGGTAACCAATGCAGCTTGCAAAGCAGAGGTGTAATGCGTATTCTACTAGAAACACACATAACTGCCTGCACTGCCACATTCTGGACCAGTTGAAGTTTCTGGATACTCTTTAAGAGCAGCCTTGTAGAGCGCATTGTAGTAGTCCAACTGGGAGGTGACCAGGGCCTCAGTGACTGTAAGGCCCCTCAGTCCAGGAATAGGTGCAACTGGTGCACAATACGAAGTTGTGCAAAGGCCCTCCTAGCCATGACTGCCACCTACTCATTGAGCAGGAGTTGTGAATCCAGGAGGACCCCCAGATTGCACACAGGGTCTGTTTGGGGCAGTGCAACCCCATACAGTACCAGCAATAGTATAATCCCAGAACTGGAAGGCCTCAGAACCCCAAGCCACTCAGTCTTGCCAGGGCTCAGGTGAAGCCAGACCCTCACAGCCTCCCCCACTGGGATAAGACATCCATAGCATCACTTAAATCGCCAGAAGCAGAGATGTACAATTGGGTATCATCAGCGTACCATGGTGATGAAGGAGCTCACCCAGCGGTCTCATGTTGATGTTGAATAGGAGAGGAGAGAGCACTAACCCTGACGACAGCCCACACAGTAGGGGTCAAGGACGGGATCTCTCCTCCCCAATCAACACTGACTGGAATCAACCCTGGAGAAAGGAGGTGAACCAGCACAATACTGGGCCACCCACCCCCAATCCTCTAAGTCGATTCAGAAGGATACCATGGTTGACAGTATTGAAAGCCTCTGAGAGATCAGGTAAGGCAAGGATGGATGCACTACCACCATCCTGCCCATGCCAGAGATCATCCAAGAGCTTGATCAATGCTGTTTCCATCCCATACCTGGGTCTGAATCCTGACTGAAAAGAATCCAAATAATTTGTTATAGTATTATTTTTTATTTGGTTTATATATTTTTTATTTTCAATGAAGATGAACATTTTTTTCACAAGACATAAATTGGTGAGATACTATATATTTTACTGTCAAAATAAATCCATGCTGCCAATTACATATTTTACCAATACTTGGCATTACTTAAAATTTATAATTTTTTGGAAACTGTCTAACTATCTGCCTTGTGTTTATTTTTCTTAGCTGACTATTTTGTGGGTATTTCTAATTCACTTCTTTTGTTTGTTTGTTTCAGCAAGAAGATTCTGACTTTAGGGTTGAATGAAGATCCACAACCTCATCCCAGAACTTTACAGCTTCAGAGGATGATTAGATATTCAGCCACACTTTTTGTTCAGGTAGGATGAGCTGCTTTTAGACGTATTAGTTCACCTAAGGCAATACCAGATTACATACTGACACCCTAAACATTTTTCAGTATGTTTTAAAACTTGTCATTTTGTTTTAATGATTTATATTATGAAAATAAATAATTATTTTTAAACACTTCCTCACCTAATTACCTGTAAGTTGTGTCAATAACTATGTTGGTGTTTAGAAGGCTAATGAAATTTTTTGCATTGTGTGGTAGTGATGGGAATGGTTTCTTAGCACTGTAACTGGATTCCGATTTAGCAAGCTATTACATGATATCATGGGGAAAAAATCCTTGTTACACTATGGTATTTCAGTCAAATAACCTAAGCCCAAGAAAATAATGTTAGTCTATTCTCAGGTTTTGATCCTTTACCTCCCTCCTCCTTTGTTTGAAACTGCATTTTAATAATTCTGAGATGCTGACTTTTCATAGAAGTATATAATTGTGGTGTTGGAAAGGACCACAAGCCCAACCTTCTGCAATGTGCAGGAATGCCAATTAAACTGTTCTCACGATATGTCTATCCAGTCTTAAAAACCTCCAGAGATGGAGAATCCACAGCCTCCATAGGTAATCTCTGGAAGACAACGTAAATCTTTGATACAATACATCCTTCTAATGCTGCTAGCTCATATTCACCTTGTTATCAATGACCACACCCATGTCCTTCTCTGATGTAATTCTTCCAAGCCATGTACCTCCCTTCTTGTATGTGTGCCCTGTATTTTTCATCCCTGCATGTAATACCTTTCCTTTTTTTTCTGAGAAGGGCATCTTGTTCTTCTCAGCACAGTCCACCTGGCTCAGATTAGATTGCAGTCTCATTCTCTCATTCTGGTGTTTTAGGAAGCATATTTGATCTGTTCGTTTAAGTGTGTGTAAAACTGTTCTGTTCTTTTTCTCTATTATCTTTGCACTTTAGATATGTTAAAAAAAAAAAAGGCTAGACTGGGAAGTTGAAAAACATCCCAGAAGCAGGCAATTGCAAGACACTTCTATATTGTTGCCGAGAAAATTGCAGAGATGTAAAACTGTTCTGTTCTTTTTCTCTATTATCTTTGCACTTTAGATATGTTAAAAAAAAAAAAGGCTAGACTGGGAAGTTGAAAAACATCCCAGAAGCAGGCAATTGCAAGACACTTCTATATTGTTGCCGAGAAAATTGCAGAGATATATTCATGAAGTCACCAGGAAAAAAAAATCATTTGGAAGAGATTTGACTTACTTCCTTTACTGATCTCTTATTTTGAACCCTGCTATTTGATGCTATGTATAGTCGATCACATTTTAACTTGAATCAAATCAAATCAAACCTTTATTATGGTCATAGACCAGCATACATTTTAACTTGTTTTCTTTGACACATAGTTTGAATGAGTGGGCATTGTTTATATTTTAACCACTTAAAGTATAATGGAATATATAATTTATATATAGTGTGTGTATGTTTCTGTATGTGTGTATGTATGTATATGTGTGTGTGTATGAATGTATATGTGTGTGTACACACACACACAAGAAACATATTTTTTCGTTTTGAGTAAGATCTAAATCCTGGTAGCCTATACCCTTTAAAGTGATATTTTGAAAAAAAAAATCCTCAGGAAAAATTGCTTGGCCTAATGTCTTTACCGACCAAGGACCAGTATGAAGAACTGAAAGAGAGAAAGAAACAAGAATTGGAGAGAAAACTACAAATGGAAAGACAGGCAAGTATTTCAATCAGCATACATTTCTAACATTTATTTTCTGTTTGTTTGTTCATTGATTAAAGTATTTCCTTTCTGAGAATCTTTTGAATTTCTTTCTGCCAAACAGTTGAAATTAGTGAGACATAAATCTACAACATATTTAGAATCTGCTTAATAAGAATGACTTTTTTATATTTCTTGTTCGACTCAGTTCTTTCTTGTGCTCTTTTGGAAAAAATCCACATCTTTTTTAGAAATTTCCATAATTTTTCATAGGATTTCCAAAATATTTTAGCCAGGAGAAAAGCTGTTCTTCCCTCAGGTTTTTGTTTTGTTGTACTCTTTTGTTACTTTACTTTACTGTTATTTTACGAACTTAAATATATGTATCTTACTGAAATAACAATCATATTTGGCACATTACATTTAAAAATGTATTAATATTAAAAAAAATGATTAGGTAGTGACTTCTAATCTAATCTGTCTGTGAGTTAATAGACTGCTGATCATTCTACTGCAGTCCCAGTTCTTTGAGATCAAGTCAAAGTGGCAGGAGGATAGAAAGCATTTCAGTCGTTATAAGAGAGAATAAAATAATAAAAGTTGCTGGAGCCTTTCTTTATTTTCTTGTGGAGATGGCTGTTTATCCCATGTGCAGAAATGTGTCTTGTACTTGCTAATTCCACTTAGGTTCAGTTCTGAAACTTCAGTGATCCTATTCAGGAAATTATTTTGGTTAAATAAATTTTAGATAATTATGGAGATGAACAGTTGATGAACAGATGAACAGTTAAAAATAATAATCCCTCATATTCCATCATTTCAAAGATTCCATTTTTTGAGGTGGAGAAAAAAAGAGCTCAGGGGGAAAAAAAAGGAAAACCTCTTCTCTCCAATATATTTGCCTTTCTGTCCCTCACAAATCTATATTAAAAACTGAGGGAGTATTGGCAGAAAGAGTTGTTGAAACGTGGACTCGTCATATACCTTAATTCCTTTTAAATTTTCCCTTTATTTATTTTTTTGGCTAGGTGACATATGAAACCCAGAGACGACTAGAAGAGAAGCCAGCAGACCACACTTCCAGATCCTTAGCATTCAATGGTGAGGTACCCCGAACAAAAAGTGTTGCAGTAAAGAAAACTGAAGGATGGCTACCCACTGCTAGCATATCTCGGAACCAGGAACTTGCAGACCCACTTCTTCAACAGATCGATAATATCACATCCTTCATTAAGCAGGCAAAGGAAGCAAATCGTCTAGATGAAGTCCAGATGCTGCAGGAGAACCTGCGACAACTTCAGGATGAGTATGATCAACAGCAAACTGTCAAAGCCATTGAACTTTCTAAAAAGCAGGCTGAGATGGAGGAAATGCAAAGAGAGCAATTGCAGATCCTGTGTGAAAAAGAATGGAAAAGAGATCATAAAAAAAGGATGTCTCAACATTCACGGACACGTTCGCTGGATTTCAGAGAAGTGAAGCATGATAAACCTGAGATTGAGAAGGAAAGCATAAACCAAATAGCACAGGCTTTGGATCTAGATATGGTTCAGAACAAAAATTACTCTGGCTCCAAGGCTTCTTCCCCAAGTGAGGGTGACAAATTGTCAGATAGTGAGAATCTAGTTTTGGTTTGCCAACCTCTAAGAGCCTCAGAGCATGAGAAAGCCTCCATAAACCATTTTGAAGATACTTTAGTAATTAGCCCTCCAAAGGGTGAACCTGATAGTCCCTTTCCTGAAAACTCTGCAGTGGCTTCCTTGACTACTGATGCCTTGCACAGCTATAAAAGGGAATACAATCCATTTGATGAGGAGGAGGAGGATTGTCAGCAAGCAAATGGGGTAGCTGTCAGTGCTCCAAACCCATTTGAAGATGCTGTTGGAAATCCATTTTATACACCTGTAGGTAATCAGGAATCTGGGAATCCATTTGAAGAATCATTGTCTTCCTCTTTGAATCCTTTTGAAGTTGAGAGTGATAATGAAGTTTCAGGAGAAGATATCATAGAAGAGGAATTACTTCTCCAACAGATTGATAATATCAAAGCTTTTATTTTTGATGCCAAACAGAGTGGACGAATGGATGAGATAGAAGTATTGACTGAGAATTTAAAAGAACTTAAGAGCACACTTGCAAAACAGAAGGAGAAATCGGGCTGCTGAACTAGGAACTATATCCACGCAGTTTTGCAGATCCCAGAGGAGGGAAGGTCAAGGTAAAATGAAATACATTGAAAAAGGTGTTCAGGAGCAGAACGAAGCTTAGGCACTTTGGTATAGGTTTTCCACTATTCAAATGTGCAAATAAATCAACACTATTTAAAATGTTATAATTACCTGAAACTCTTTTTCAAACACTAAAAAATGTGTTTAAAACTTACCATAGTCCGTATTGAGTCCCAACCCAAATTTAAGAACATAATTTTATTTCTTAGCACCTGCTTTATCTCTGATGTAAAATTCAAAGGGGGAAACGGGGGTTTTAAAATGCAGGAAATTATTTGCAGTCCTCTGACTTCTGAATTGATTTTCGATCAGCAGGTAGGGTTATACATGCTTCAAAAATGTAAGAACTGCTTCAAGCCACTTCTTTGCTACTCGTTAAAGCAGCAGCAACTTTTCTCAGACTTGTACAGCAACCTGAAAAATGGTTTTGCTGCTTCTAAGAAGCTTGGTGCTCACATGAGTCCAAAGCATTTCCTCAGAATCCTTTTTGAAGCTTGCACAGCCCGGTTAACAAGAAATTAATACTGTCTTACAAATTCTCACTGGAATTCAACTGGTATCCCGCCATCTTTATATTTTGAGGAAGCAGAAGGAGAGAAAATAACTCACTGTTCAATAGAAGGAAGCCTTTCATTGTAGGAACATTAGTTGGATTTCATCTCTGTTGAACATTAAATGAGCTGGTGAATTCATCAAAAGAGGGTAATTGCCAGATATGCTTAGAGGAATGTTAAAAAGCAGGACATTGCTGAAATGTTCTGATCCACAGAGTATAAAGGCCAATGATCTGCCTGTGCAATACAAAAGATAACCTAAAGTAATTCTAATGTAGTTCGAGTAGTTGTGATGCTGTATCTTTGTTTTACAAAACAAATGCATAAAGCCTAACGGAACATAATGTATTCTTTTCCTTTACCTGTTCTTCAGGTGATTAAACTATTTATTTTAATAGCTTTTTCCAGCTAATTCTGGACTATACCTTTTGTAAGGATGTTGAACATTTATCACACTCTCAAACTACAGAGTTTCCAGGCTTGCAGAAATGTCATAATAGGTAAACTGTTTTCTGCTTGCAAAAATTAGGAGATTTACATCCAGGAGAATTGTGCTTTAAGGGGGCCATCCTGGGTGTCCACTTGATCAGAGCATAAATTAAAAACTAGAAGGTCCTCTCCATGTTTCTTCCTAACTTTATCTCTGTCTAGGATTGAAGGAAATTTTCAGTCTAGATTTGAAGAACATTCCGCTTTTATAAACCCTGAGTACAAGAAAGACCAAAATGAACACATTTTGGGGAAGAAAAAGGACAGCGTTGATGTACCACCTCAATTTGTTGTTTGGAGGATTTGTGCAAACCCTAAATGGAGGTTATGAGATTCTTAGGGTTGAGTTATTCATTTGCAACAGTGAAGATTTTTTTCTTTTATTGATCTGCCAGCTGTGAACAGAAATGTTTAGGGACTGTTAAATGTTAAATAATTTCTGATTTCAGTTGTACTGAAAGAATTTTATTTTGTTGCATTTAATTATTTTGGGGACTTAAAACCAATTTTAATTGTTTACACAGGAAAGACTTACTTGGAGAGTATTATGGACTTACGGGAATGGGAAGAAGGCCCGAGCATTAATCATCAATCTGATTTTGGAAATTGTTCCCATTTAGAAAAGCTGGCATAGATGATACTGTACACAGTATAGGTGGGCACTAAATGTTACATTCCTCAAGGATTTGGGGTAATATGGTCAAGAACTAAGGCAGCACTTTACACATTAAGCATTGTTAATCGTTTTCCATTTTTAGAGGGAAAAGCTAGCTTAGCTATGATTTCATGCATCGTAACTCAGCTGAACTCAGTGGCAGCCTGTTATAATAAACCCTGAGTTCCTGTAGAAGCTGACTTGAATGCTCCACATAGGGCCATAATATTCTAAGGATACTTGTTATGAGTTTAATGTTTTTAAAAAATGGGAGCATCTGGAAATGAACTTGTAGCGCACTAAACAGGACTGAGCTGGAATATGAGCATAAATAAATAAAATGTATTAAAAATGGATACCTATAAATTGAGCTAGCAGCAAAGTTATAGTTATTATTTAAGGTAAAACTGTATTAAGGACAGCAAGGCAACAAACTTGATCTGTCACTCTTTGTGTAGTCCAGCCAAAATGAAGGTTTCAGTGGCTTTTTAAAACCACATTTCCTTGTTACATGCGGTCTGCCTGGTTTCTATGTATGCCATAGTCTAATACTTTATAAGACACAGTATTGATGTATTTTATTAATAAATATGTTGGTTGTAGCTCTATAACTGCAAGTCAATGTGGAATTATCCTTCTTGATAATTCAGTGATTGTCCCACATTCTGTCAGCCTTCCATTTGTACTACTGAATTGACACAATGAAAATGAACAAGACATGCCATTATGAGACTTAACACTAATGACATTTGTTTGTACATTTGCATGCACTAGTTTGTAAACTTTCTGATGAAATAAAGTAAGATTTTTGTTTCTGTGAGTGTGGAAAAAGTGATTAGGTCAACATCAGCTGCAGCATTCTAGTCTTTCATGTGAACTGCACATTTCTTGGCATCTTATCGGCAACATGCAGGAAGCCTCTTTATACTAAGCCAGGCAATTTGTCCAATGAAGCACTGTCTACATTGTTCAGACAGAGGTCTTTCCCAGGCACGTCTACTGAAAAGCTTCTAAGGATTTAACCTGGGACTTTGTGTTTTGCACCAAGATACTTTCTTCAGCTCAGGTGAAATGAGAAATGCAAATAGGGAGAAAAACCCCTTCTTTGCTTCTCTGGAACAGGATATTTTAAATAAAAATGTGAACAATCTTTAAACCCAAACCTTGCATAGAAAAAGTATGTACCATGATGAAATGTAGTGATTGCCAATACTGCAATTCAAAAAATAATATAAAGGAACAATCAAATACATTTTGGTTGCTATACTGTGAGATATATAACCTTTAGTGTAAAAAAAATCTGAAGTCTGTTTTGAAATAATGTACCATTTGAACCAAGAAAACAAACAGTCTGCACTACAGAACTCATCTTTTTCCTTGCTTTAAAATTATTGTGGCTTTTTAAAAGTCACAATTTTACTTTTATTCTCACCTCTTGGCTTCAGCATAGATAAAATCCTGTGTTGTGTAGGGCATTAGATGCTACTTCTTTTTATGCAGGTGGTACAGTTTTGGCTTCCATAAACATGGAAAGCCTCGATACACACAGTAAGTGATATACAGCTTCTGCTATCTAAATAGCTGATGCCTGCTGATAAAGCTTTTTCAAATACCCAATTTTATCGTTTTAGTAACAGTTATACTTGTATAATGTAAAATAAGACAATCCAGAAGATAATTAAAAACAGATATGGTGATAGGGCAAATAATAAATTGTCTATTTCTTTTCTCAACCAAACTAAAAAAAATTGAACAGAAATTTTGCCATGACCATATTCTCACAACATATTTTCCTGGGGGGGGGGGGGGGGGGATTAATCCCTATATTATATTTGATCAAGTCACATACTGGATTAGCCTAAATCCATTCAGTGATCTGTTCTGCATATCTAGTTCTCTAGGCAAAAGAATGGCTCTCCATTATAGAATGTATTGCAAAGCATAGCAGCACAGAACATAATACCTAAGCCAGTGTTTCTCAACCTTAGGAACTTTAAGATGTGTGGGCCAACTTCCAGGATTCCCCAGTCAGTAAGCTGGCTGGGGAATTCTGGGAGCTGAAGTCCATACATCTTAAAGTTGCCAAGGTTGAGAAAACTGACCTAAACATTGGTTTTCTACAAAGGTCAAGCCATGTTCCCCAAATTGTGATTTTTAAAATCTAGTTAGTGTGACTGTGTGCTGACTGGGTTAGATGTTGACCCTGGCTAAGCAGGTTATGGAACAGGCCAATGACTTCTCCCAAGACTCTGTAACATTGAAAGAGAATATCCTTGTGGGGCACCTCTCACAAAATACTTTTCAGCCAATTGCTTGCAAGTTTTTGAACAAGTTAAACATCTACATCACACTGAACTGTTTTATATCCTGCAGCCAGGCAACTTGAATTTGCATCATTATAGAAAGGGTAAACAGATTGAAATGTTATTTCTAACCACTGAAGACTAGCAAAAATCCCATAAATCACAGACATACAATTGTTTTAGCCCTATATCTACATTCAATTAATGAGGAACATTTGTAGGCTTTTAAAATGTAAGTACTTTAAATAAAATCAACTTTTGGAAAAGGAATCAGCATTTCCTGTTCCAATCTTTTTCTCTGTTCCTATAGAACTGCATTATACAATGTGGACATAATCCAAGCTCTCTTTTCCCAGGATGACTGCTCTTCCTCCACAGATAAGAAAACTATCGTTGGCATTATAATCAATATGTCCCAAAATTTGTTCTCTTTCGTTTTTTTTAAAAAAGCATTTATAAAATATTTACCACTCAGTGTACAGCAGTGAAAGAATTAAGCCCATCTACTTTCCTTCCATAAGTCTCTCACAATATTGTATTCTCGTCATGCCTGTAACCAGTCAGTTTCTTATTAGTCGGCAGTCTTTAATTCCTGCTGTGGAACAGCTTGGGGTCAAGGTGGCTTAGGAAATGTCTTTCATGGCAGCTTTGTATTTGCCAGTCATCTCTTTTGGCAGTGGCACTTTACCAGGACAGGGAACTTGGCCATCAATTTCACACATGCATTCCCGCAAGTGGTATTTTTTGGGACCAAATGATGCAGGATGCCATCGCCTCTTTTTCTCTTCTTCTTCCTGGATTGTTCCTCTGTTAAAAAGATGATTTTATGGTAAGGAGGACAGCAAGTGCAATTCAGTGTGCAGCATGCCACAACCATTCATGAATACTTTAACAAGTTAAATTCTGATGAAAGAGGAAATGTGTTCTTTTGGAATGCAAGCAAAAGGTTAACTGGCTACTTTCTATAAGGAAGAGAAACAATTTATACTATCTATTCATACAACATTGTTTTGAACAAATGCATTTCATGATCAACACGCTCTCTGAATAAACAGAATTTCCCACTCTTACTAAGCTATCAGATAAAGAACCAATAAGAGGCAATAATATCAATGTAAGTTCAAACTGAAATATAAGAATTCCCAGGGTATCATTTATTAGGGAATGGTAGCAATACTTTAAAGAATATTTATCTATTCCCCAAATAAATTTAGAAGAAATTATGTCATCTGGGTTAAGGAAGTCCCATTTTTGTCATAGTAATTTAAAGCAATCGTTTCCTATACCGTATGCTGTGTTGGATACCATCTACCTGGGGGGAGGATCCCTACAGGTAGAGGGGATAGAACTGGTGGCCTCCTGAACTATCCTGAACGATCCACCACCACAGGGATCTATTCTCCTAGAACTGTATGAGAATAATTGGATGCTCTTGTTTTTATAGCCACTTACCCTATGTATTCCCCACACTTTGAACACTTTGGAAAGTTCAGAAAATTCCTTTACCTATGGCAGCATTTAGGCTTCTCATTAACAACTCATTTGACATGGATTAGATAAACCTTTGTGGACCTTCTGATTTACAGTAATGCCATTTTTCATTAAAAATAATCCTGGCAGGAACTTTGTTGCCCTTCCCCGCTTTACCTTTTTAATCCATAAGTGAGTAAATGGGTAGAAAAGTCTGCACTTATATTTTATGTCTTATAAATAGACCTAGTGTTGCCCCATACAGTCAGAGCTGAAGTTGGATTCCATGGGCATGCTGACCTTAGTTATTCTGACTTACTTGCTTTTACCAAGAATTTTCTTAATGTGCTCTGCTATCTCTTTGTTAGTCTTCTCTTCCACATCAACCAGGACTTGCTCTCCAGTATCTGCAGAGGAAACAGTGTTACATACAGAATATCTATAGGGATTTTCCCAGAATTACTTCCATGATATGGCAAATCTCTCATACAAATATATACACATGATCATTTTGACCAGAGGTAACTCAGCAACCATTCATACCTGAAACTATCCAAACCCTGATGACTGTAACACATCGTATGTGGCCACTTGCTCTCAAAAAATTCAATTATTTTAAAGCAGGAATGGTTAGCTTTTTTCTGCCCAAAGCCTGCTGGACCTCTTTCGGCCCAGTGTTAGGAACACAGGAAGCATAGCTTTTAATGCACTATGGCTGGATTAAGCAGTGTAACTTTCAATTACTCTTTTCTGTTCCCAATACGAGTGGGATAAGGTTAAGGGCCAAAACAGCAGACCTACGGAAGGCAAGGTACCTTAATAATTATGAATAGTTTAAATGGATACTTAAAACACCACACTTAGAGCTTTCAGCATAATGTACAATAAATATGAGCCATATAAATATAACATGCAACAACAGTAATAAAACATATTTTATTTATACTAAAAAAGAGAGTTGAACTGAATAAAACATATCCCCCAACTGAGGGGAAGCAAATACAGCGGAACAGAATAAAGTAACTAAAATGCCAAAGCAAATCAAATAGCTTTAATCTGGTGCTGAGGAGACTATAATGTTGGTTTCAGATGCAATTCTATCGGGAGGATTTTCCACAATTATACTGCTAGAGCAAAGAAAGCTACATCCTTTGATGTCTACACAAGAGCATCTCCTGCTGATATTAAGATACAAGCAGGCACCCATTTGTTGTTAGGATCCCATGTCAATAAGAACATGGACAACAAGCCAGTTTGGTCTAGTGGTTAAGGCTCCAGGCTAGAAACCAGGAGACTGTGGGTTCTAGTCCCGCCTTAGGCATGAAAGCCGGCTGGGTGATTTTGGGCCAGTCTCTCTCTCTCAGCCCAACTCACTTCAGAGGGTTGTTATTGTGGGGAAAATAGATGGAGGAAGGAGTACTACATTTGTTCACCACCTTGAGTTATTTATAAAAAATAATAAAGGTGAGATTAAAAAATCTAAAAAGAAAAGAAACCCCACAAGAGCATATGGAAAGTCTTTGGATTCTAAGTCTTGAAGTGTGGGGGGAATGGGTATGATTTTTTTTACTAGCCTATAATCCTTACAAATGAGTTTTATGCTTATTATAGCCATGTGAACTTGTACTTCTCCACATGTATCCAACATCTGCAAGATTAACTTCCATCTGCAACTGTCACAATAGTTGGAAGATCACAGGTTCCCCATGCCTGTCCTAGATCAATTCCACAGCATCTTGATACCAATGAAAGACCTTAAAAACATGACACTGAGAAGGAAAAGATAGTATAGTATCAGGTTATCTACTTTCCCTGTCTAATCCTTAAAGATCAGTGCTAAGCAGAAAGATAAGAGCTTATTCCATCTATTTCTGCATATTTTCTTTGCAAGTCTCCACTGCAGACATTTACTACCTCTGCCCTCAAATCTCCACATAAAACAAGCTCAGATCCAGTTTTTTTTTTTTAAATAATCTGGATAAAATAATATCAAAGGTAAACTATTGCTTGCAATTCTTTCTAAGGCAAGCAAACTCCCTGAAGTTAGGACACAAACAAGTACTTTGTTTACCAGCATTGAACACAAAGTGTAACTGCTCAGACTGGCAATTCTGCACGGTTCTATTAGTGATTAGGTATGTCAGCCAGAAAGCTTTGAAGACATGAGCCATTTCCCTCTTTCAAGCAGACAATGTTAGGGATTATTTCCCATGTGTCAGCTACTATTAGAAATAGGGGCACATAAGCAAAGACTATTCTGATCCACTCAGCAAGAGCTGCAAGGAAATCAGACACATGCTCTACTTACCCAAGTAGAATCTTAAGAATGGTGAGGGAGTCATGTTTTTAAACATCACAATCTGCAGCCAAGGATTTTTGTACTGAATCTGAGGTATGTTGAAAAACACAAATTTTCTATGGTAAAAAAACAAAAGCAAGAATGAGAAGCAATGCACTCAGTTTTTTAACCTGGCTGAAGGAAAGGGACAGTTGAAAAAGCATGACAGTCTAGATTTTGAGTGATTCTGTCCACCTGGAGTGACTGATACTGCACATGAATGTATTTCATTTCAGAAAGGTGGCCACGTTATCTATTGCAGCAGAACAATGTCTGTCTGTCTGTCTGTCTGTCGTCCTCTTCAGAGCAACACATTAGTTGGAACAGAAATAAAAGCCAGGGAGAGCCAGTATGATGCCCCCTTGCTGGCTACCTCCCTTCATGATTACTTGATCAGCTGTAAACTGAAGCTATGCAGTCTCTACGGAGTCAAACATACATTTATTTCCCAAAGCGGAGGGCTATGGGCCTTTCCCCATTTGCATAGCACTACAGCACAACCATGCACCGGCAGCCTCTTCTTCCACCCTGGCCCCATGACACTGGCTTCACCTCATCTGCAACCCACCAGGAAGAGAGGTTCATTGTCCTCAGTTGCGCCAGTGTCAAAGAATCACTTTCCTCTCACTCAGGGCATCGTCCAGCGGCAGTTTGTGGTGTATAAAATCGGTTAGGCTTTGCCCCCTTCTTCCTTGGAGGGAAGTCAAGTGACTGGGGTGAAGGGAGCTGGAGAAGGCATTCTCATTTCAGATCTGCACCGGCCTCTCTGCCATAAAAAAAGCGTGCTGCGTTGCTGGCTTATAGATCAAAGCACCGCGCGTGAAGCGGCAACCCAAGATGCCCTCGGCGGCAGCGCCTTGCTCTTCCAGGCCATTTCCACCTTGGTGGAACCTGATCTAAAATAGGGCTACCGCATCTGGGTTGTGCGGCCCCTGAACGGCCATCGGTATTTTGCAGCCCAGCCTTCTCTGAAGCGGAGAGCCCGGCCTCAAAACGCTTCGGGCCGCTGCTCCCTGCCTCGCCCGAGGCGAGACCGACCCTCACCTGGCGCCGTCGCTGAGCTCTCCGTGCGTGTTGTAGTTCACCGTCATCACCTTCACGCAGTTCTTGAAGACGATGTCGCCCTGGCTCAGGTACTGCAGCGTCCTCCGAATAGGGAACCTGCCCTTCATAGGCATGACTGCGGCGGCACCGACGGCTCCACACACAGACGGCGGCCCCAGCAGCCCCGGGAGAAAGCAACTTCCGGCTCGGTCTTGAGCTTCGCACGGAAACTGTCGACCCACCGCCAGTAGAAAGAGGAAGAGGAAATTCATCGGCGCAGAGGGCCATGGGAAGTGTAGTTTTTTTTCACGAGGAGGAACCAATGAACACAAGGACCTGGATCCGCGGCGCGCGAGGAGAAGAGGAAATCAAATATGGCCTGGAGCTACCAAGTCTGGATTGCGAAAGTCACTACATTTTGGCAGCCTAGACGCTGGTGAACGCACGCGGGCTGCAGTTTTTTTGCTATACAACGTATAGGTTGTAATAGCACCAACGCATAAAGGCTTTTTGAAGTATTCATCGCAAGAATTTCGGAGTGTTAACAAGTAGGGTATGGATCATATGACACCTTGTGCATTTGAGGTTTCTTTCGGATGTTGCGAACGAATCCACTATACCCAAAGGCTGTTTTCTGTGGCAATGAGTCCTAGCGGTAGAGACAGAATTATTCAAAATATGGCTACCCCTACTTCATCTCCAAGTCACAGCTCAGATGCAGTGTGACGCAGTAACTGCGATGGGGAATTGGGGCTCAGGAAAGCACGTCCGCAACCAGCCACAGGAGCGAATTGGGTGCCTCGAGGCCAATCGTGCTCTTGCAGTTAATTGTGGGGATAAATTGGAGAAAGAGCTATGTGTGCTGCCATGTCCAGCATTTGGGATATAAATCTGACAAAAATCGATCCATCACTATAGAAAAGATGCCCTGCAACTGAGCTCAGTTCTGGGGTAGACAGTTTTCTTGGTAAAAATATGGAAGCACTGTCTTCTCCCAAGATGTTTCTTAATTTCCAATGAAGAATAGAATTCCAAATGTCTTTATAGAGGCCAGCCACATACTAAACAAAACTGGCTCTACTGAGTTTCCATGCTGTTAAAGCCAAATATTGCCATCTACTGTACTAAGACAGTGTTTCTCAACCTTGACAAGATGTGTGGACTTCAACTCCCAGAATTCCCCAGGCAGCAAGATATTAACTATAATCTTTAAAAATGGATCATTATTTTAACATGGCAGAAAGAGTTTTCAGTTAAAAAGCATGACTTGAGCATGACAGGGACTATTCCAGGGTCTGCCATGTGCACGTAGGTGGCAGAGAATACATTTAAACTTTGCACATTCGTTGCTGTATACTTGAATCAGTGTCCTGATATTTGGTCAAAATCTAAAGACTTACACCAGTGGAAATGGTTGACTTTTCAAAGCAGGAGCCATTCCCTTATCCCCAGCCCCCACCCTTTCTCAAAACTCCTTTACTACAGGGCACGGGAGATGCGCAGTTCAAGGAACTCTGGGATAAAACCAGCTGAGGCATGCAGAATGCTCCTTTGGGGAATTAATACCATCTCAAGCAACGTGAACAAAATGCCGCACACGGATGTTTGTTTTGTCACCATTAACTGCCGTGGATATTAACAAAAATATTAAAAGGAGGAAATCAAAAGCTGCATAAGAGTATTTATTTATTGTAATAGTATAAATTTCTTAAAGGCTGCAACATTAAGCCACAACAATGTAAGGACACATTTAGACAGCATTTAATAAAATGCATAAGCATGCACTGCAATACTCTATATATACACACACAACAATGCAAATTTCTCTTCAAGACTGAAGACATTGATTAGATATAAAAGTTCAGATTTTAAAAAACATGCTATTTTAAATGCCATGACATTTCCAAAGCTGATTTCACAAAAGAAACTTAAGAGGAAGCAACAGGTTTTGGCAGGTTTTAAACCTGAACTAAAAAAAGTAGACTTTTTAATAAACAATACAAAACCCAGGGTTATAAAAGATAACCCTGGATATTATCACAGTTCTTTTTGTGGCAAATACTTGAGTTTTAATAAAAGCTCGATGCTTGAGGGAGTTTTCAAATGCTTACAATTGTAAACATAAGCAGTACTTTCCATTATAAAACTGTTCAGAACAATGGCTTTACATTGTGTTTTTACGTAGTACATCATTATGAAAGCCTTTTCAGGATATGAATTCTGTGGATACTGAAAGAAAATACAGAACTGTATGCTGATCTCTTTTGGACAATACACCATTAAAACTTATCCAGCTGTTTGCTGAGAGTTCTGTTTTTTAAACTGATTAGAGTGTGAAATGAGTATCGTACTTCCAGTACAAAGTTACTTTACTCTTCTAACAATGTATTTGTCTTTGCTGCTGCATTGTATAAATAGGACTGGCAAAATGTAGAGCTATCATGTCCGAGCTGCAAATATCAGGATGACCCCTACAGTTTCCGGAATCTTTCTGCTTCCAGTTACGGAAGCCCCAGTGAATGAGAAATGCTGTCTCTTACACACATTCAAAGCAAGAAATTTTTCAAATAAGCAGAAATGGTTATCTTTTAACCTTTCAGAGAACAACTAGAAAAGGAAAAATTCTATTTGATTTAAATGGAATGACTGATGAATCCAATTGTTGCAACTATGAAATGAAGAATTTTAGTTTGAGTAAATTTAAAATGAGTGCTTCTAGCCAAAAATGGTTCATCAGCTAAAAAAAGAAATGTTTAAGCAGTAGACTTGAAAACAGAGAAATATAAATTCAAAAGTATTTATAGGGATTCTCCAGGATTATATCCCACTTCATTGTTATTTTTTATAGACTTTCTAGTCATAACTCACGTCTTTTAAGTGCAGGATTAGGCAAGTGCTAGACCATATATAACTTTATTAGCAGCATTTATTTCCACCAGGCTCTTCTTTTACAATACTGTACATTTTAGATCAGATCTGGAATACATTTCAAAAAAGATACAGAAAACAAGGCTTAGGCAGTATCAGCAGTGATATTGGGAAGGGCAAAGTTTTTAATTTTCCAATGAATTCTGAAGACAATCTTTCTCTATATAGACCTAACAGCTCCATGAAAAGTGATCGTCATGGTGCTTGAGAACCAGTTTTCAGCCCTCTCCTTTTAACCACATGTGGAAAATGGAGCTGGTGTGTCAAAGCATGGAGGAAAAAGAGCTGTTTAAAAGGGGAAAAAATGCAAGATTCCCATCAAGCCCTGCCTCTCCACGCAGCGCAAACTACCTGACCTTTTGAGAGAGGCAAAGCAGAGACCTGAAAAAATGCAGTTTTCCACATACTGTGATTTCCTCTATGAGCCTCTATACGTGTTCTTGTACAGAGGAGCACTTCTCCTTTAGTATGATCATAATTATTTCTGGAGCTCATTTAATAGCACCACTTAATATAACCTCTGGCCAAATTATCTAATCTGACACCCCAGCCCCATGAATCCCTTTTTATTGATGGAGGCCAGAAAGGAATCAAGGGCAGTACAAAGTGAAACAAAACACTTGGGGTGCACAAGCTGCTTCCCTTCAGAGCTTACTTGAAACCTTCCCCAAGACTTTACTGGTAGCATCTGTGTTGTATCTCATGCCATTTTTTCATTAAAAAAACCTTAAAATTTAAGATGGCCATTTTACCAGTTTCTCTGCCCAAAAAAGAAAAAGAAAAAAGTATTATTGAGAAGATACCATATCCTGTATCAGTTAGCTAATAGTGACATTCATGACACAGCGTTTTGCCTTATGCTCATTTAATAAGATAGTTATCATTATAAAATTACACACATCTGTTGTGTGATAGCCTTGATCATTTTAATTAGCAACTTGGAAGGGATGTACTGCCAGCATTAAAACATACAATGATCAAAATGCATATGCTGAAAAAGAAGACTGTACAAAAGAAAAGCTCAGAAAAAATACAAAAAGCCCCTTTTGCAGGCATTCAGAATATACAGAAAGGTTTATGGTCCACAGGTTCACCACCACTGTCACTGCACAATCTCCATTAATTTAAGCTGGGCTTGTGAATATTAACAAATAAAATGTGGAACTATTAGATAGTTTCTTTCAGTATTTAAGACAAAGTGCAATTAGGTTTAGGAACAGTGCTGAGAAAAAGGAGAGGGAGGCATATGATTATATCAAGCTTTAAACAAAATATAAAATGTAGGAAGCTCAAGCTTTGCAATGCATTTATAAATCTTTTTTAACATATAGAAATCTGGTATATATGAGTATGACTGTACATAATTTTATATACATACATACACATTTTATATTACACTGTACATAATGTACTGCACAAAGTTAGATACTAACACATAAACATCATACAAACTAATAAATAGGGCCAGCATCCAAAGCACTGTTTTAATTGTGCTTAAGAGCTTGGTCAAGTCTTGAGATTTTAAAAAACTCTCTTCCTGTTGTATGGCATATTTGAACTGAACTCTAAATGACATATTTAATTATTTTTGAAAAAACAGAAATACCTATGGACACATACTTAAAATGACAATCTTAACTTTTATCTAATTCAGTACAAGCTAAATATTCAGGGAAACTGTATTATTTAATGGTTTTTAAGTTGCCATACAGGTTCTCCCATAGCAGGGAGACTTTGGTCTTATTGTCATGCATGTCCAAGTCCCATTGAAATAAATTAAAATTCATGAGTCCAATTTATCAACAGTCCGTCCATTCAGGAAGTCTTTTAAATGCAGATGCTTTCAATCTTTACATGCATATTTAAATCCTACCGATCTGAGAGAACTTGTTTTCAAGTAAGTGTGCTTGGTAAGAGTAATCATCCCAAATGTCCATCTTCAGAGAAATAGATATTAGATTAAAATTTCCACTTACTGACAATTTTTAAAAGTGCTATGACTTACTAATAAAACATCCTTTAATAATTATTTTAGGCTCAAATTACAAAGTGTCAGGATTACAAGACACCAACTGTGAAAACCTCCACTGCTGTCATTGATGTCAGGCACATGACTTCTATGATAATTACCCACTGAGCAAAATATATTTGTCTGCCAGTGGAACACGTAGCATTCATTCTACTCAAAGCAGCTCTGCAAATCTGCTCTAGATTAGCAGAACGCCAGAGCAGATTTGGAAAAATGCAAATAGAGGAGAAGCAGACTAAGTCCTATTATGTGATTCTGGATAGAACCTAATGGATTCCAATGTGGAGAAACAAGAGACTATTTTTTATTTTCTATGTCTGAATGGTAGTTTTATACTGCTTTCTAAATGCATCCAAATCAAAAATGTTTCTTTTAGTATAGTGGTAGCAGCTCCTCTCTGAAAAACAAAAGCAAAACTCTTCCAAACATGCTGAGAGTTTTTCAGTGTGCACATAAGCAAGGGTAATGATTACACTTTTTAAAAGAAAATTATGTTCAGAAAACATATTCCAACAGGATGTGCAGACAACGGTGAAGGATGGCTTATATTGCACCTCCACTTTCTGATGGACTGCTGTGCAGTATTTCCTTCCCTGAAAATCGGAATGGAGATACCAAACTCTAGATGCTACAAAAACTTTCCTGTTAACAAGTGCTCTTACAAAAAATAAGTTTAAAATTGTTGAAAGAGTTCATTATACAGTCTCTTCCCAGAAACTTAAAACTAAAAGAACGCTTGTTCTCTTGGGCATAATGAAAAACAAATGTTAAAGTCATTCCTTCATCATCTACCTCTAATGTGAGAATGAACTGCAAAAATATGTTTATAATAATATGCTGGCTAGGTGAGATAGGAAATAAATAAATAATGAATGCAAAATAATTGAAATACTGTAACTCACTCCCATTAAAATAGTGCTACTTAAAAATGTATTTTGGCTTGATCCAAAACCTAGATAACTAAAACAAATGATGTAAACTAGTTTGGTTCAACTTAATCCAAGAGAATGAAATTAATATATGATTAATGGTTTGTAGAGGATCTAATCTGGTACAGAATTCAGCAAGCTGTTTCATCTTGCACTGAATTATTTTCAAAACTAATACTATTTTTATAGTATTCAAATTGCATATGCTTTTATTAGATGTGCATAATTAAGTATTATACATACTCTAATAATTTTAAATATATATATTCCACCATAGCAATCATGGTAGTATGCAAAACAAAACCTATTAATATGCATTAGAGGTATAAATTATTACAATAAAAACAGTATACATAATTTGTTCTGCAGATTTCAACAAAATTGTACTAAAGCATAATCTCAGTTGTTTAATCTTTCCTCATCCAATTTTTTAACTTTATAAATTTGGCCTGTAACTAGTTTTAGGTTTTAAGATCTTACCAGGACAGACTCAATTCTATTTCCAAATGACCTTTTGGACGTTTGGAATTATATATATTATATGACACAGCTAAACTCCTGTTTAAGCAAAATCAAGGAATATACTATTTCAGCTTCTGTATAACAGTGGCTTGTGAATTAATTTGAATGTTGATGAAAGGATGGCAAATGTAAAAGATCTGAGCATAGCTAGGAATTTGCTGAGTGAATTATCATTATGCAGTATAAACACTCACTAGAAGTAAGCACCACTGAGCTCAGTGACACTTTCTCAGGAGAGAGCCATAAGACTACATTGCTTATGTAAGGCTCTGTTCAACTATGAGTTTATATTAACCTGTATTATTCTTCATTAGTACTTGCATGTATTAAAATCTATACAATGCTCACTATAAAATGCATCTAAGATGCTCACTGAAACCACCCATATACTTAACAAAGAGTATACATTACACACTTGTTGAAATATGTTTTCATATAAAAGCCAATTTGAAAAAAGTGATACATGTATGAAATAAAAATTACAACTGTGATTTGAAATACAGAAGTACTGTACAATATAATATTAAATATAAAGGCAGTACTGGATGCAAGTAGAATTGGCCAGCCTTAGTATTTTGACAGATCACAATACATGGCATTTTTAGTACTGTGACTCCAGGTGGATTCTTATCAGATTCTGAATGATCCCAGAGACCCCCTTCGTGCATGGTACCTTTCCTACATAGAAGTAAGATGTATATAGAAACAAACTCATATCTGCACGGAAATGTGTGAAAACCACTAAAGTCTGTTGTGTCATTATGATTTGTGTTTGGATGGTATAGGATAATCAGGTAAGACATATGCAATCATGGGAAAATGGATGTAAATGTAAATAAAAATGGCTATTCTTTTTCTTTTACTGTGATCATCATTTCTGTAGAAATGATGGCATGTGCTTCAGAACATATATTGGGTTGCAGGCTGAGAAAATGAGTGAATCAGAATCTGAATCCTTAGGACACAACTTCATGGTTCCATGGTATGCTATCGCAGGGACTATAGGAAGTTTCCCTGCTCTGATATCATACCACACTCTGGTGACCAGGCTAGGCAGAACCAAGGATCTGTTGTATCCTAACCCCTCTGCCAAATCACCAAACACTTACTGAATTTAAAACAGCCTAGAAGCTAGTCTAAGCTAGTCTAGATATGTTCCCTTTCACTGCTACTACTACAGCAGCTTCTTGCTTTCATCCTGTCTTTCTAATATTGTTTTGGCAGATCACTTGGGAATTTGAAGCACTTTGTTACTGGAGTGCTCCAAGCTGACTGTAGGACTCCTTTGCCAGAAAGAAGCCAAATCTCAATAATAGATTCCTTGCTATTTCAGTGATCTCAGAACTGCCAGTCAGTCTTCCTAGGCCTCAGAAGGAATAAGTTTGAAATTTGTTTTTGAAGCTGATTTATCTGTAAAATAAGCTATTTTACAGATAAATCGCTATTACTTAAGTGATGGATGTGTCACGGTTAAAAAAAAAAAAAGCTATTGTAGCACAGCATTTAGCAAACAGCACAAAACCTCTTCAAATTCTCAGTGGTGCCTCATTACAAGAAGTTATTGTGCTATTTTCCAGTGTAAATAATGTCTATAGCATCTATCAAGTTTACAAATGAGCCATAAACCTTATGCTTCACCTATGCTATAAACATTTCTATTCATTTAGCAGAATTCAAACAGTACAGAAATTCGCTTAAAAGAATCGTGTTATTAATAAACATATGCAATTAAATTTTTGTTAGCATAAATGATTGTCTGCCATGGCTCTAAGTTTTCATAGAAATCATTAGCATACATCTGTAATTAAAATGCTATTATTCATTTACACTACTCATAGAAGCAGGATTATGAAGATACTGTCTTAGCTTTCATAAAACAGTCTTTGGAAGTGTTGACTGTTCCTACATCCTGCTATTTTAGATGTCAATTTTAATCTATATGCATGTATGTGTGAACATTATGTCTGTACACAATATGGACTGGATTCAAAGCATATTTTCAGCAAATAAAAAGCCCTCTGCTTGCTCAAATGAATCTTGTAAGCAATTTTCTTCTTCCACAAGCTAGTGTGGTACACTTCATGCTGTTCTGAAGTGGCTTTTTGGGGAAGCAAAGAAAAATGGGCTGCAATGAGGGAGCGGGAGGAGGACAGTCCCATTGTAGGAGAACTCTTGCAGCTTTTTGGATCCAAGCTAAAATTCTGAATATAGTTTTTTTTAATTTGTATTCTGTCATAAGAGAAGCTATATTGTACTCACTGATAATGCTTAAATAAAAACCATATTAAAGACATATTTATCAATTCACTGTAGTCTTTTCAGGAAAAGAAATTCAAATATTTGTTCTGGCAGAAATAGGTCCTAGAAAAAATATTGTAGTTTTTTTTTTTATCTTGCCTTTGAATAAATGAATATTTAACAAGAAAATGAAAAGTGTTGAAAGTATTGTACACATTATCCAAAAGAATCAGTAATAGCACTCAGGTCCACCAAGATGAGCTGATTCCTTCTAAGAGGACGATCCTGTTATTTGACCATTGTACTCTGCTGTTTCCATTTTCAGGATGTAGGGGATAATGCTGTCAATTGGAACATTTCCAATGAGGCCAGTAAAAAAGAGTTCTTCTGTAATGCTGGAGCTCATCAGTCTAAGAGCTGGCAGGCGAACTAGAACTCGAGCTAGTCTGAAAGAAGAAAGTCAGTGGTACATGTAAAGATGTAGCTCAATTTACCAGTACCGCTGTGATGCTTAAGAGTTCCACCTGATGTCTATACTTTGGCCTTTGAGTTTATGAAAAACTACTACCATTCACTATGGTTACAAGCTAAATCTTTACAAAACTACATACTGTCTCTCATCCTTTCAACCTGGAGTTTTCCTACGTGGAGAGTTTGGGAAGAAATATATGCATTAGATTGATCAGACTCATACATCTCAGTATCCCTCAAAATTCTGAATCCTGGAGAAAGCCTCAGGAGGGTTCGGATTCAATGTGTTTCTCAAAAGTCCACCATCTGGACCAAATCTGATAAAACACCCAAAGCTGCAAGGTTAATGGGTCTCAACATCCATTTGGATTGAGTGCATAATAAAGGGTTCCTCCAAACTTGCTGTTACATGGTCCCTTATAGAAAGAGGCTTCCAACCAATATTTATGTATTAAATATTTTATGTACTGTCAAACAACTGATTCATAGTACTTTACACTAAAAATAACATAAAAATATAGTAAAATCCAATTCAAACATAAAAACCAATAAAATAACAAATAATATTAATAGTATAATAAAGTAATAGTAATAATCATCATGCCAACCCTAGTCTATATGGCAGCAAATCATAATTTGAGGTACTGTTTTAGGCACATTCCAGAAAGATGCCAGAGTAGGCACCAACATTATATTAATACTATAATGAAAAATATATTAAGTTAATTATGCATGCAATAGTTTACCTTTTCTACTATAGAGGAAAGCAAGGCTCAAATGGTAACATCTGTAAGTGAATCCTGAAGTTAAACTGACAGACAAGTCCCATCTCAAATATGCGCTATACATACATACTTTGAAATAATTTCTTTTGATTTTAATGGAACTCACTTCTGGTAAGTAAAGGATAGGCTTATTCAATAACTCAATAACATGAAAACTGTAATAACAGTAAGCACTTTGGGCTGTCATTGTTTTTGGCTGGAAGTAAATATATGACTTCTGGTGCAATCCTATCAAAATCTACTTTCACAGATATCTAGGAACTGAAAATGATGTTCACTAAAGGTCACATGAAAACAAACAAACAGAAAACTTTAGCACTCAACCAAGTAAAACAACAACAACATAATATAACAATACCTGTAAGTATCTTCTGGATAGGTTTTTTGAATGTAGTCTTGTAACTCCATTTGAGCTTTCTCCTGAAATTTTTCGATTTGGCTGGAACCTGTCAGACCAGGGTGATCTATTGAAAACAAAATATTTCACTGTACCTTTACTAGTACTGAAAAATGTAGCACTTAAAAAAAACACCACCTTTTATTCAAGAATTTCCAAAGGTAATGTATGCCATTATCTACCAGCAATGCTGTTTTGTTTTCCACCTAGCACATGGTCTATGCAAAAAATATATAGCCACAAATAAAAATTACAACATTTGGTAACTAGCAGGAGATCATTTCAATCCCAGGGGATCCACTCCTGCTGACCATATATTGTCATTCCTCAAAGAACAGAATTTCAATGGAATTATATATTACAGTATATAGTAGCTCAATTAGAACTTATTAAGTATTTTAATCCATTTAAGAATGTATAGAGACAATTCCCTATCCCATATTAATTATCTTAGCAAGCTAGGATGTCTATGGTCTCACTAATGACTAGTGAAGTGAATGGCCACTGTATTTAAACTAAGCTTCACATAGATTATTGTGTAATTTTTGTATTTTGCTTGCATTTAATTTTATGACAATGTGAACACATATATGCCCTCCCTACATGTAAGACTATTTCATGCACTTGATTAAATGATTTCTAATCCTTCAAAAATAATACCATAAAAATCTATTAGTATTAAATATTACAGTCTTATTTATGCCAATTTTATATAGGTAACATTTCAATCATTCTCAGTGAAGTGTGTATGGAACTGAACCCTGATAGAACTGACTGTATATATCCAACAGGCAAGGAAGTACGTTTTTATAGAGATAATATTTAGATGTATTGAATTCTTCATTTCTAAAAGGCTGCTATTTTACCAAACTTTAATTTGGCTTCCATCTAAAATTCACATATTTCCATTCAACTGTTCAGAAAAACGGAACATATAAAATGGACGTTAGTGAAAAACCCTTATATTCCACTGAGTCCTGAACATTTGGTAAATTGGCTCCATGCTAAAAATCTGGAATAGGTCAGAACTTATCTATGATACGAATTAAAGACGTGCACATAATGGTTTGTCTGATTAAAGCTGACTACCTTTTTAATCATTTAAGCAGGTAATTTTGGGGGATTTAGCATGTAAGTATTTTTAAAAATTTGTTAAAACCCAGACAACAAAAATATATTTACTGCTCTATTAAACAGAATGCTATAAAAGCTGGATAAAATAATTTGTTTTAGCTTTCCAATTTTAAAAAGTCAGATTTAGAAAACTAATAAAAAACAAAAAGAACCATCTAAGCAGGAATTAGAATTATTAATATATTCTGAAACCTTTCTGAAATGCAATATTGTACTCAGTCAAGTAAAATGTTAGTCTGACTTCATTTTCTTTGGAATTCTGTACACAATTCTCTCAATTCCCTTCTTTCTTTTTTTTTCTTTTTCCCCAGAAAAGCTTGCTTTTATATCTAGGTATTTGGGTGAATTGTTTTAAAGAAAATTTCTCATTAAAACCTTACTTGTGCGCAGGAGGATTTTGTTTTTAATTTTTTTTTCTGTAACATAACTCTGTTCCTGGTTTTCTTTCCCTCCAAAAAACAAAGTTAATTACATAACAGTGAAAAATGTATTATAAGTAACTTCCAAATTCCATGTTCATAATTTGCATTATTGTAAGTGTAAACCTTATTACATGAAAAGCTAAGATAAAAATTAATGTCCACCTTTAAAATAGAAAATTAAAGATCTGGCTAGCGTGTTCAAAACTGCCTTCTATCCTATACTGGGGGGAAAGGAGAGAGCAGAAAAATGTTGATATTTCCCCCCAACATTACCATATGATTCTGCTGTGCATCTAACATCAGGACACATTTATTAAGTAGAAGGCCACCAACAGAAAGCAAAAATACTTGTTGAAGATGACACATGCTTAGGAAAAAAAAAAAAAGCCTGAAGACTGCAATTAATTAAGGTTTGAAAGACTGTGTTAGCACAAGTTTCTTATGTAACTTATGTACAATTCAAAAAGATATTTTTTCACATTCATTTTTGTATAGCCTCCTAATCTGGAGTGATGCTTTAAAGTGCACTGGGTGAGTACCCTTACAACACCCTAAATGCTAATTTGTGGTTCTGCAGTACAAATCATGTATATTTCACTCATCGAGAGAATACATACCTTGAGCCAGACTTATAGATCGCATATGTGTGTCTTTTGAGCCTTATCTGTTTTAATAATTAATTGTCATGCCAACCAGTTATTGGGGCTAGGGAATCCTATTTACCTTTGGATTTCTCAATGCTTATTGGAAAGTAGATCTTCAGTAGTAGACTTTTGCTTTTCCCACCATTTGGGGGTGAATGTCTTAATAAAAAAATGTTAAGACAAAGAATCTTTTAAGCCACTTAGGAACAGTTATAGTTATGTTAAGTATTCTTTACTCCAAACAAGGCAGAAGATAAACAATCTTGCAATGTCTCCCCTTAAATCCCAGATGGGCTGAAATCAGTAATGGAGCCAACTAATATAATGTTGTCATTCAGGAACTTTTCTAGCACAGTGATAGGTAAATGTAAGAACCTTCAAATTATATCCAATTTATTAAGACATTCTGTTTGGGACTGCAGTTGGAAAAGATTATTAATTTTGCTGTAATTCACAGGTCTCCCATATTCTGCTCTAACTGCAGAAGCTGCTTGTGAAGTTATTTAAAAGAAGGGGGGAAAAAAAGGAAAGAATTGAGATATGACTTTTAAGAAAATATTTCACGAATATATCAAATTTAAATATGATATTTAAGGAGAAAGTCTCACTAAAATGAAGAGTTAAAAGGTCAAAGTAAATATCTTAACCCCAACTTAAATATATTACAAAATGTCTTGTTAATTTCTTCACCACTGTTTTAGCTAGTGTCAGAGCATTAAAGCATCTAAACAACATTAAAGGCAGACACTGAAATCAAATCATTATTAAATGCCTTACCAGGACTAAAGAGGACTATAGCTTTAAGATAAGCATATTCATATCCATCAATATCAAGTTTAGCCATACTGTTACAAAACTCCTGGAGTTTCCAGATGTGCTCCATCACTTGTTTTATTCGATCTCCAGAAAGTTTATCTACAAGTAAACATTATATGCTCTCTTAAAAGAAGGTAGATACATTGGGAAATCAACCAAAAATATAGCCTTCTTCAAGACATAATCATTTAGATAGCAACTTCTTCACACATTACATTTGCTCCATGGAATTTGGGAATAAATCTTATTTTTTCAAATGGAATTAGCAGCTTAACTTGACTTCTTTCTGCTCTGTAGTTTGAATTACATGTTTTTATAATTCTCAATTGCAATGAACAAAGCAGAAGCCAGAAACTTACCCTTTTGTTAAGAATGCAGACAATGAAGAAAAATCAAGCAGTGAGCAAGGTAAAAGAAAGTAGGTGTAAATATAAAACTGAAAGTAAGCCAAAGGCTATAGGGAAAGACACCGAGTTTAAAAATGATCAAATATGAGAAGTTGGAATTACCATGAGATATCTTTTATTCAGAGAGGAGTTGAGCAGGCAAGAAAGAATTAACCCCTTCCATGGAAAGCAGAAATAATTTCAGTGCCCTTAGAGACAGAGGATTCCTGCCACACTTTCAGTCATCTGGATTTGGCTGATTTAAGATGGGCACAGTCAATCCAGCTTTCCATTCTCAGTGAGCAAGGGAACAGAGGAGGCAAGAAATTGATGTCTAAAAGCAATATCCAACAAATCTGTATATTAACTCAAACTAGGCTTTGAAGGGTAAACTCATCAATATTTTAGTGAGGAATAAAGGTGGAACAGTTGCCAAGGCACCGTTCTATAAATATTCTCTAAGGAGGCATTAGTAATAATGTCTCAGATCAAATGAGGCAAAGACTGTTTGGCAACATTGTGCAAGGAATTTGGAGCACTTTCTGCATTGACCTGAAATGTATATATAAAATGTAATAGGTACTAACTTTCTTTATGAAGCACTGCAGAGATTGGTAGTGTGTGCCTGTACAGAAAAGGCAGTTGTCATTTTTGTGCAAGATAGTACTGAGAACATTGAGGCAACTGCAATGGAAAGTTAGGCTTCTATTAAGTAAGTTATTATGTCTCTTACCTAAGAGACAATGACCAAAAAAAAAAAAATAAATCTAACAACAACAACAACAATAATAAAAAACCATCTGTCCTCCTAAAGTGGCACGGGAATTATATTCAGCCCAACACTCACAGCACAGGCAAAGCCAAATACTGAAGGAGAATTCCTCTAACACTGGAAGGCTTGAATTCTTTTAACTTTGATCTTGCCACTCACAGAAGACAGACTTAATCCTTTCCTGTGTGCTTCATTGCTGATTGAGAATTGCCCTATTTTCAATTATTTTTAAAAATGATTTGAGAAATAAAAGTTAACTTCCATAAATTTAAGAGCTTTTGGATATTTCTCTATCAGAAGACAGATTAATACTAGGGAGCTGAAATCTTATAGGTTTATGAAAAGATGTATCTCAATATGAAGCATTTTTTTCCCTTGTTCTTCTGTTCTGTGATATTTGCATTTACATATATCCTATGTGGGCAATCCAAGCTTCAAATGTATTTTTAACATATCATAGAACCTCTGAAAATCCTATCTATTTTCCCCCCAAAACTAGCTGATAGTAAAGTGGGGAATAATCAATGTTTCTATATTGTAAAGCAAAATAGAAACAGACATCTCTAGGAATATTGCTGGGAGGAAAGCTGAAAATAAAGTCTTTCTCCCTCTTCTTTGATTCTGTGGTACATGTCCATGCACATGAGCAAGGGAGAAAGAGACAGAGAGAAACTGAATATGTACTTGTGGCAGTGGGCCTATCTGGCACATGTGGCCTCTGGGGCTGAAAAGGCTACTCCCTAAAATTATGTTTAAAATATTTGACCTTTGCCTGTATTAGCAATCATTCTACATGTCTTTTCAGCCACTGTATTATGAAAACTCTTACAGTTTACAAATTAAGAATTTTGCAAATAGCTGGATATAAAACATTCATTTTTCTTAATTGGGAAGTAGTAATAATAACACTACTTATTTTACCAGACTTTAGTTTCCACTCCAAAAACTCGAGGCAAGAACTACTATTTTAATTATTGTATCGTACTCCTGATGACAAAAAGCTATGTTTAAAATAAAGCACACTACACCACAATTAGGTCAAACAGCCTCTATCTACTTTTGGTAAGGGTAATAGTACTACTATTTATTGTTTCCATACACAAATCTGTTTGAAATACCTTCCAGCTTTGGATGAGGGAAAATCTTAGAGCCCTACATTTAATCAAACGTAGGGCACCTACCTCTCCATGGCCTCTGAATATCCTGCCTCTTTCCTTGACCAGAGGAACTACATCAGTTGTGTTGTTTTTGAGGGCCTGGCTGGGGGGGCGGAACCTGCCTATTATAATTAAGTTTGAAAGGATTTAACAAATTAAATCAAATGAACTGCTATCTTTATTCTTCTAAACCTAAAACAAATCAAATAAGTTAGCCAGAAATAGAGCCCACCATACTTTTTTTAAAAAAAGAAAAAGACTACTGATACATGAGCTTGAACTTAAATAATAATGTAGTATTACTTTTTTAGCATGTAGTTTTTTGTTACTCATGAGTTTTATGCTGTAATATCCTAATCCCAGATATGAAGTGAGATGAGAATAAAATAATAGGGAATCCCAGGCAAACCCTTTGTTTTTATTCACTGTCCACTTTATAATGCTGTATGGCTATTGTACTCCAGATCCTCTACTTCCAGTGAGTATATTCTTTCCTCTGTAGCAGCGCCTGCCCTGAGGAATGAGGTTCCCCCCAAGAGCCAGATGGCCCCCACTCTGTTCTCATTCAGAAGAGTGGTGAAGACCTGGCTCTTCACACAGGCCTTTGGTGAGAGAGAGCAAGACCCCTTGCTTCATGCCATCTGGTCTGTCATACTTACCATGTTTTATTTTTTTAGTGATTTTATTGTAATTTGTTTGTTTGTTGTGAGCCACCCAGAGTCATTGGGAATTGGGTGGCATGCAAGTTTAATAAATTATTATTATATCCTAATGGCATAGAATTGCCCATCCCTCTGCAGACAACTGCTCTCAATATATGTATGCTCAAAGGAAGAAATGCAACATTAAGAGTGGAACTAAAAGTGACACCCCCCCTTTTTATCACAGAAACGTTTGATGTATGAGTGACATATAAATAAAGACTGCTTATATACAATTATAAATCTTTGAATTTATAACAAACGATCAGAGCCTTTAAAAAATAACACATACCTTCCTGTATGCTATTCTGCAAATGGTTGACAATTGCGGCTAAGATAGTTGACAAGCTCATCACCTGTGCACACTGTGCTAGGCCTAAAGTAAAGAGCTCATTCCAACAGGCACGTACAAGGCTTGTATTACAGTCTTGCCTACAAGTTATAAAAAGAAATGGTAAGACTCATGATAATTTTTGTATATAAAGATCTCAGGTATAAGACTGCAAAAATCTAATGAATTTGGAATCTTATGAGAATTGGGACATACATTTTCTGATGTTCATCACTGAAAAGATCACCGACTTATGACACAATTGCCAACAGACAGAGGTCCAAACCAGATTCAAATGTTATCTATAATGATGAACCTTTCTTTTAACAAGTTCATTTATTTTAAGAACACTACAAAAAATAAGAAAAATACCAAAATACAAAAGGTAATCAGTAGATAAGGGATGTCCAATACTAAAAGCAATTAATAAATAATAAAAAAAAATTAAACCAAGCCAATAAATGAAAAGAAAGGAAGAAAGAAAAAGAGCCCCCAACTTTTAAAAGGCTTAACAAATTGCAATTCTAAACATCTAAAATATTTGTTAAACGTATAAATATCACTGGTTTACAAACTATACTTTATAAACTATATTATCAAATTAAAAAACATAAATAGATATTACCTAAAATACTACTGCATTATTCTAAAACAACAGAATATTCAATATTCAGAGCCCAATCTTAGATGGCAGCAAAATCCCCCCCTCCATAAATACAAACAGACAAAGAATAAGACCCTAATGCTGCTTGCTCAGTAAAGCTAATTGAGCTTAATTCTCCCTCCCTAATTGTCCCTCCTAGCCTGCTGTGAGTCTGAATGTATTCTAGATTCCAAAGACTGCTAAACTAGTCATATGGTGATTCTTATCAGCATTAGCTGGGTCAATCCATAATCCAGGGATAGACAATACTTTTTCTTCTTCTACCTATTAAGAGCTGCAATCCCTCAGGGCAATCTGTTGGGGGTTGCATAATGGGCAGGATTGAAGCAAACAGATGGGGCCAAAGCCAAAACTAAGCAGGAATACCCAGTTTCATCATGTGTTTTTTTTTTTTTTCTGCCTGTTTCTGACAATCTATTTTGAAAACATGAGATAACATAGTAGGGACAAACAACAAATCTAGAGGTATGAACCAATTTCAAGAGTTGTCTCAAATTAGGTCCTAGACTGCCTACCTTTGATCTATTAAAAAAAAAAACAATGCAAAGCACCAAAGTCACCAAACTGCTGTGTATCTTCTTAATAGATAGACTTGATTACAACCATAGGCCAAAAAAGAAAAAAAAAGAAAGAAAACTCCACCATATAAAATATTGCATAAATGTTAACAATTACAGTTATAGCTCACAGCAGGGCAGAGTTTACACATGGTATAACAAAATTTAGCAATGTCTAGGGACCCAGAATTGTCATTATTGTGTAAGTAAAATAAGTCAGAATGCCCTGGGAATTTAGAGTGGAGCAGGGAGATCAACTGCAGACAAGTGTCACTGTAGAACTGGTGGTATGACAAAATGTGTGGTTTCTATGCATCTGCAGCACAGGGGCACAATTGTTCAACAGAGATTTTCCTGTATTTCCCTTCCAAAGATGCTGTGGGGGAGAATGTTAAAAATAGAGCTCTTCTGAACAATGTTATCTTTTAAGTAGTAAAATGATCTGATAATCCTAAAGCTTTTTGAGTCTGTACAAGACAAACACTACTTTAAATCTAATTTTTGGCCAGAGATTTTGTATGGTGATGGGTAATAACGTTTTTCTCTGTGAAGTTTTGCTTAATCCTTTCTTAGTCAGAACAAAATTTGCTATTTTGTTCTTACTAAGCAACCAGTAGATAAACCTTATTTTTTGCATTTTAACATGGGAGAATACCTGCTATGTGGACAACCATTATGAATTAACAGAAAAATTTGGACATGTATAGATTCAGATCTTATGTGTGATCTGAAATATGTAATGTCCCGCTTCCTATATATCACCTTGGGACTGCCAACCCTAGCTGAAACCTATCCTGGATACTTCCTCTTCCTATTAAAAATATTTATATGAGATACAACAGTGTGTGCATTTATGGGTATGTAAACAAGTAGCCACATAATAAGAAAAAAGGGGGGCAGGATCAGTGCCCCCAAATATTAAATTAATAACTATTGATTTGAATTAACTGCTTGCTTGCAAATTAAGGTACTCTCTTTATAAACTGGTCCCTAATCTACATATACTAATCAATGTGTCTCTACATATAAATCATTTTCATACATAAAAACATTCAAGTATACAAATATACACACTATTATTTCTCCTTCCAGAAAAGAAAAATAGTAGAAGAAAGCAACATTGTATTGTCTGCATACAAAAGTACACACAATTCACTTTATCATACATTTTCTTTGAAATAATAAACATAGAACAATCTTTCTCACATTTATATATTTCTGAATGACATGTTGAAGAACAAATGTTTGTCTGTGTATCTCTTACCCAGCACTGCACTTCTCAAATTTTGTTGTCACCTCTCATATTTTTTTAATCAGAATTCTGCCAAACACCTTTCTAAGAACATTTCTGACACTAATCCTCCCTATTGTTTTTACTTTCCTTCTTGCTAGCTTTCCCTTTGTATAGGGGAATAATAATGGCATCTTCAGAATGTCAGGCACAGTTGCATTCTTCACAAACACATTATATATATACAGGTAGTCTTCGCTTAGCAACCACAATAGGGACCAGAAAATTTGTTGTTAAGTGGGGCAGTTGTTAAGCGAAGCATCATGTGACTGCACCCAATTTTATGACCTTTTGCAGTGGTCATTAAGTGAAACACCACGTTAAGTCACTTAACGTGACATTAAGTGATTCCCAGTTAAGGGAATCACATGGTCATTAAGCGAATCATGTGGTTCCCCATTGATTTTGCTTGCCGAAAGCCAGCTGGGAAGGTTGCAAATGGCAATCACATGACCCCAGGACACTGCAACCATTATAAGTGTGAGCTGGTTGCCAAGCACCTGGATCGTGATCACATGACCATGGGGCACTGCAACAGTCGTAAGTGCAAGGACCAGTTGTAACTTTTTTCAGCGCCATTGTAACTTCGGATGGTCACTAAACAAATGGTTGTTAAACAAGGACTATCTGCATATATATTGCTGAATCTTATAATGTAAGATGTATTTACATTGGTTTCAATTCCATTCTTTAACATAATGCTATAATTCCTATATATATAAAATATATATATAAAAATATAAAATATTTTTTCCAGCATTCTAGATTCATCCCAAACGATTTAATTACTATTATTTTTAATTGCATTCACTCTGCTGAAGGCTCCTTGTGTAGCCCTTTTCACTCATTTGCAAAACAATTTAATTTCATCAAAATTGCTCTGCATTTTGTTTTTAAGCTTAATAGTTCCTTGCTCTCTTTGATTACAGTTCTGACAACTATCTTTTCCTGTTTGTACACATTGTACAATATCCTTCTCTTACCCTCTTTTTTTGCAGCAACCATTCTCTTACAGCATGTTCTCCCTGACCTCCACCCACCAACCTCTATTACTTTATCATATCAAGCATAATTTTCTATACTTTCTGCTGGTATAACTTCACTCACTTCTATGGCACTCAGTAATATAATTCTTTACAGTCTCTTATGCCCACCTTCCATTATTTCTATTGAGAGATTAATCTATCTTTTAATACTTTTTCATACAGGACTCACACATTCTCTTCCTGCAGTTGTCCTACATTCATTTGTTTCTTTCACGTCTTTCCTTTTCTTCTATGTCCACTTTTTCCAAGGACTACTCTTGGCAGTATCCAAAAATGTTCTGTCTCACATCAGAGGCTCTCATTACCCATGGGTCTTTCACTAATTCTCTCAGTCATTCATCATAAACAATCAAATGAATCATAACTGAACAGACACATGCTTAAACCTGTATTCAAAACAAACAATCCTTTTTCTAAGTGGATATTCACCAATCACCATTCCCATTCATTCTTGGGTTTCTAAATGGTCCACTCACTTTTTTTGTACTCTGTCAACTCGATCCCTTCCATCCATTCATATCACCTAACAGAATAATTTCCCTCCTGATCACATTAGTCCACGTTACAGATTTTTTTCCCAAAACTAATCCTTGGTTCTTCCATTCAGTGGAGTATAATAGGCCGCTATCACCAAACTATGAATTCTTACTTTCATATACCTTTACAACATTCCCTGATAACAGACATGACAGTTTTGGCACACTTTGGCCAGCATACCAAAAGCATCATCAAAGCCTAGTTTTAGTCTAACATATTCAAACTATTCTACACAAGCTGGGATCACTAAGCTACAAGCCAATATACACATGCAGTTATCAACATAGGCAGGGTGTTTACTGGTAGTTTAAAATTTGAATTTGGATAGATGTATGTTTCTTAAGTGGGGTAAAAATGCTATTTGTTCTGAGAGGTTTAAGAAAAAAAAATATATTGTCACAGAAGATCTCTGTTTGAAGGGAATGTTAAGAACACTGCTAAAAGCTTTTCAGACTGAATTACTTTTTTCAAGTTTTTATAGTATCAAAAGACATATAAACAGGCAATTTGGCCCCTGCACTTCTATTTTTGGATTTAGTTTGTAGGATTGCCTTCTTAATTATACAGTTTGCACACCTTTGATTTATGGAATATATTTTATAATGACAATTGGCTTCCTTATAATTTTATTTGTGCTTTTAAAAATGATTTAGTGGTTAATTATTTTTAATTTTTGTCTATTCTTGTTCTTTCTGATTTGAGTTTAATGTCTTTCTTTTGTATTTTGCTGAAGGTCAAATGAAAATTTGCAAACAAAATGTGCTTAGTCTAACTCGCTATATTCATCATGGCACATGAATTACAAATATAACACTTTGCTCAAAAGTTTTATTTACTCCAATACAAATAATCCCACCAACTAGCTCTGCATACTTTTTACAATCAAAAATGTGAAACTTGACATGAATTCAATACAGCAAATGAAATAATTTTATTTCTGAGAATCATTGTATATTGCAGATTCCATTAAATCCATATTTAAAAACAGACAAAAAAACCACATATTCTTACCCTAGAGCTTGAAAAGCAGGAATTGATCTGGCCCAATGCATGGACAGAAAAAGTAATCGTGATGCAGATTCACAAATGTAATGTACATTCAGATACTCTGGCATTGGGCTAGGCATAGTTAGCTGCAAGAGAAAAACATGAAGTTTATTCTAAATATACTTTAAAAAATCACTTCTATATTAATATAATATGGAATCAGAAAGGAACTACACCCTTTTATACTCAATGAACATCTTTTTAAACATTCAAATAATTTTTTCAGTCTGTTTGATAGTTTTTGACTCTAATGGTGGTTGAAAAAACACTTACACTGTATTACTGACAAAATAATTATTTGCATTTTAAATAACATCTGCAGTGCTTCTATATAGTTAAGCATCTCAATTTAAAATGTTACTGTGGAATAATTAAATATAACACTTTAACACTCAGAAAAGTTTAAAATCCATTATTAGAACATTTAAAAATGTTTTAGAGAATGGTAGCATTTGGTAATTAGTTATATTTGTTTGCATTTAATAAGGAAATATTGATCTGTTTCAAGCAACACATTAAGATGTAATGTGATTTGCTTTTATATGTTATGAGAACCCATTTTTAAAGGAAGTACTTAATGATAGATCTGCCAAAATAAATCAAGGAAACACACACCTTAAATGTCACATGAGTATCTGTAAGAAGAGGTCCTTCAACTTCAATGATTGGAGTAGACTGATCCCTACTGATTACATGAATATTCCCACCACCTGCAGGATCCATCCCATCTGCTAGATTCTGTGCTGTTGCACCATCTGTAGTATTAAGTGCTTTAGCCAAAGTATCAAATGCCCTGCAAATAAGAGTAAGTCCATCATACATCTTTCTTATAGTACCTTTATGAATAAGAAATGAAATAAAATCTTGTCTATCAGTCAACAGCATCATCAATGCCCAAACCCCAAGATATTTGCAGCTCTAGAATTCCCAGGATTTCCAGGCATATAAAAAGACTTTAGAAAAACAACATTGAGTACGTTAGAGAGCAGAACAATGCAATGAGGACCAAATATCCAGTTTTCATAGAATGATAACTGATGGTTGAAGGGAATAAATGAAATGGGGGTGTAAAAGAATGAAATGGAATGGATTCAAATGTGAACTGCATTCTTCCACATTGCAATACTGTGGTATTAATACACCTGGGCCTATCATAAATTCAGATAAATTTTGCACAAGGATACCATAATTGGCTGTCAGTGATTTAAAAAGAAGTGAAATTATAATTACAAACTGCAAATTAAAATTTTTGAATTATAAAAACCTTTACACTGTTATACATTCAATGTTTTGTCTTTATACTATTTATTTTAGCTACTCTTCAATGTTCAACTGTTAAGAAATATTAGTTAGCTTGATTCTTAAGTTTAACATGAGAATGAAGTAGACAATGATTTTCAAAAATAGGGCACTACCTATTATCAACAGTATTGTAGTTTCACTAATGAAAAATTACTTGTAATAGACTGGGAGATCAATCACAAAAATTTCTAACATGAAGCATATACCGAGTAATCTCGCTTGCGGATTGGTCTTCTTGCTGAATTTCTGAAGTGTCTCCATTATTAAGTGATTCATTGAGGCTGGCAAGTGATGTTACAACATTTGCTAGTGTTCCCAAAGCACCTTGGCTTGTCTCAGCCTCCAAAAAAAGAAAAAGATATTAGTAACAGTTTGCATTAAATAAATGAGTTTATTTAAATATCATCTGTGCCTATTTCCCAATACACCTTCAAAGAAATAAAAATAATAAAAATTTTAGGAAATATAAATACTATCAACCAAATAATACAATGCATATCAGGGGGCTGATAAAGCTATGCCTCTTTTTCATTACTACAGACTACTTTACACAGTCTGAGCAAGATACAGGTAGTCCTCAACTTAGGACCATTTGAAGGCTGGTGTGGGTCTTCCGGGCTATGTGGCCGTGTTTTGGAAGTTTTGTTTCCTAACGTTTCGCCAGCATCTGTGACCGGCATCTTCAGATGCAGAGACACTGGGACCATCCCAGCCTTTCTCAGAAAGAAAAGGACTCTCAAATCTCCACAAGCTAACTGCATTTACAACCGACTCAAACAAGCCCTCTTGCGTGAGAGAATACACACAACGCGCAGAAAACTTGCCATCACAGACAAAGAACTATTTGACACACACATCACCATCAGTCAGAAAAGGAGAAGCCAGGACTGGGACAAGATTGACACCCTAACCTACAGGAAAATGGGAAAGGATATCATTGACCACACAACCAGGCAAAAGCAAAAATTTAACAAATGCCAAAACAGTCAACCAAAACCGGCGCTGGATCCCTCCCTCATTGTCATCAATTTGACGGAATGCCAGCTCGCGCCAGAAGAAACCGCCATCCTAGCCAAGGGAGGAAACTTCGCAATCACACCCCCCAGA